ATTTTAAATAACATAATATGTTTTTACTAATATGTAAATCCATTTTTTTCTTATGTATTTGTTTCACAATAACAACATATTTTAAATAGTTATATTACTATAAATTTTAATCTGAAACCATTTATAAAAGTAATTAAATTAAATTAATAACAAAAATGAACTGTTTATTTAAAATATAACTATATATATATTACATTATTAATTCAAAGTTTCGTTTTTTAATTTTTTAAAATCGTTCAATGATATTATTATTTGTTGAGACTATATTTTTTCAATGAAGATATTTTATAATAATGATTGATAGGTGTATCATAATACTGTCTTAAAAAAATAAATAGCTTTGTCTCAAGGAGGAGCTGATTCCCCCATACCCCCTCCCTAAACCCACCACTGTCTAATGTATGCTAAAACAAAATTAAAAATATATTATATATTTTACTTTTTTTTTTTTTTACCCTTTTATATACCGGGAACGGATGGGAACTGTTTAGCACAATACTGCCACCTATTATATATTTTACCTACATATTTTGAAAATGAGAAAAATAATATTATTATTAAGTTAAAGTTTTGTTCACATGAATACTAAGTATGTTCATCATATCATATATTCATAATATGTGATATGTCTAGATGGTATGTAGCAAAACTAGTAATAATAGATGGCATTATGTTCATTATGAAATGTATAACCTACAATGCTAGCGAATAACTGAACAGATAGTAAAACAATTTGAATAAAAAAATTTTGAGAGATAGGCAAACATTTTTTAACAACCTAATAATAATCATATACATATTTGCATATTAAGTAGGTGACAGTACCTAACTAATATCACGGACATTATGGCTGTATAAATTATTATGTCTATAAATAGGTWATCGATTAACAGTTATAAAAAATTGGAGTTAATATAATACAAATTGATTTTTTATGAACTAAAAAAAGAGACATTTATTATTTTTCGATATTATACATCCTTAAGACAATTTTATTTATTATACTTTTAGCATATGGCAAAAGTGTATTATATAAACAAATTAATCAAATATTATATTATATCAATTTTTTTTTTTAGTTATTATAGGTACTATTATTCCACGTTTTAAACATGTTTTCATTCCAAAAWGTAAAATACTTAAAAATTATAGGAATAAAAAAATGTTAAAAATATAATTTTTTAATAAAAACGTTGTTTTGTAAACGACTTGAAGCTATGTAAAATTATATTTTCAAAAACACTTTTTGAAATAATGAGTGTTTTAYGCTTCATAAATCACCCCGTATAGGTATTAATATTAATTGTTATATATGTATATAACAATAAAAAAATTGAAGAATATAAAATTATTTTCCTAATTAGAATAATCACTGTATCATCAAAACTTTTTACGCTTATGATAAATTAATCACTCTGTATGGATTGTACGATTTAATGAACCTGACTCTTAAATAGATCACGATCGTCAAATAAAATGTGTGTAATTTATTTTTAGTTTGCATTAATATAATACATATATAATATACCTATTGACATTATATATTTAGTAGCCATTAGGTAGCCATTATATTTTAGTAGCGCATATTGGACGGAGTTATACCTAAGAAATCTATCATTGACTCGGACGTTAGTGCGTTGGCAGATTGACCTATACCTATAGTATATAATGCTGTAACCTATTTATACGCATTATTCCAACGGAATTCACATTTGAACTCGAAGAAATCGAAAGGCAATTAAAAATAAGCATGATCATTTTACAAGTAGTTCGATGAGTAAGTATATTTTTAAGCAACACTTTGAAATATCGCTATTATTTATTATATTAAATAAAATTCCAAAATGTTTTGTTTATTTAATTAATATAGTTTCAAGCACCAGTGAATCTGTCAGAACGTTTTTTTAAGCGTAATACATATATARACATATAGTTCGACGTAATATCTGAAGCGAAAACCACTTTTATTACATATTTTGTGATTATTTTAACGTAATCTATTTTTTTTTTAAAATAATTTTTATAACTGCGTAAATCGTCTCATTTTTTTATATTAAAATTTTAAACGAATCATATTTCGACAGTCACACTTGAAAGAATGCTATTGAAAATAGGCTGCCAGACTAAATCGCAAAAAAAGTGTAATACCTATAAAATTATAGCCAGAAAGAAAAATAGTTATTTAAGACAGTGCCACAGYGGTAACAAAGTTAAAGGTGTTTAACGTTTAAATCCAATAATGCGTAATAAATTATAAAAATAACATTTATTAAGATTTTCTTTTGTTGGGTGGGGGTGGAAGGAAAGCTAATTATTTTATTTATTATTTTGCATAAGTCACATAACGTGTCATGATTTTATCATCTGGTCGTTACAGCCTTACAGCCAAAAAAGTGACTTGACTTTACCAGTGCCTAAAAGCAACTAGTGTGCATCAAATTCGTCATTCCATTCATACGTAAATCATATAACTATTAAACAAATTTATATGTTGGGCGTAAATATTTTGTATTTCTATAATAGTTATTTAGCTGAAACACGACTGTTCAGTACAGTAATAATAAAATAAAGATAGTTGTTCCTTATTAGGTAAGAAAATTTTAAAGTTGTGGTTGATCAGTTTATTCTATCAAACAAGCAAAACAAACTTGAAATATACAATTGTGTTCATTTAGAATTTCGTTTTTTGAAAGGAAGCGTAAACTAATATAAAACAATAATGTTAAACATGTAACTGGTTTTAATATATTATTATTTATAAAACTATGACACATTTTTGTTAATTATTCTGTCAAGAAAACACTTATATTGTTATTTAGCAAACAAATAATATTGTTATGTGTTATATCTTCTGGTTTTACATAGTATTATAACGATACAGCTTTGATATGCACATTGTAATATAGAATCTAATTGGATCTAAGTCACTGAATCAGAATTGTATAAACACAATAAGCCGTATTATGCTATTACGATAAAGATAATCTTCTCATATGATCACTATATATGCACTATGCA